ATGAAGTTTTATCTGTATAAAAACTTTTAAGTCACTATACATTGGTATGAATAAATCTGAAACAAACATTTTTCCTAAAATTAATAAAAGCATTTTATACTTTTGTTTCAAACGTGATTATACTTAAGTAATATAATGAATGAATAAAGAGTAAATCAGCACTTTCTGTATGTGTTACACGGAACAGTTAAACAAAAGAACATAACATTCAAACAAATTAATTCATACAAAGTAACGTGAAAAAGAACATAAAACTGGAATTAAAATATTTTAATTCCAGATGTTTCTTCCTAATTCATAACGCAACGATCTCAATGTAAAAAATCTTGAAAGAATCTGCCATTTTTTAAGTTCAAATTTCTTTATAATACATACATATTTATTTACCAAAATACGCTAATATAATATAAAATATAATATACATTTATACATATCGCGTTGAAACAAATATGAAGTCAAATAATCAAGGATTAAAACCGATTTTAACACGTTTCCACTCACCATTTTTCAGACCCACTTCACGAGAAGAAATATCCCAGCATTCTCTTGACTCTTCTGAAATAAAGTGTTGCCAACTTAACGTTCGGATAAAAATATAAAATAACGATAAGTTTACTAATTTACAAAAATTAGATGTATTAATTTATTAATAATCTTAACAAGTTACAAATAATTAAATTAATTAATTAAGAGTATATAAAATATAATTTATATAATATATCTTTTATTTTTAATTCTTCGCCCTGTGAGCACTAAAAGGGCTTCTTATAGCAAGCCCATTATGGGTTCAACCAAGCCCACAATGGGGTGGTCGGGTGGAATAGTGAAAACGAAGCCCGACATATCCGGAAGAACACCCAAAAAATTCCTGGGAATTTTTCGACCCGTCTGGATTCAGATTCCGGGTCCCCCAGAGCAGTAGGCTACCATCTTGACCGCTCTGCCATTCTGCAGATCTAAGCCCTGTGGGCACTAAATATTAATTATACCAGTGGCGCAAATAAGATTTTTGCAATTTGTGTAATATCAGATAATGACCTTTGGAGGCATGACTGCTTAGTCGCCATACGTTATCGGTACTCGGACTCAGAAGCGGTTCCAGAAGTATCTAAAGTGAGCTGACACAAAAATTTAAAATATTTGAATAATTAATTAAAATAGGTCTATCTTTTATTAACATGACAATTGTGTTTTGGATAGTCCTATCATGTACAGGGTGTTTCACAATGTTTTGACGATTTCAAAGTTGAATAACTCGCGTTAAATCCGACATATAGCGACGGTGGTGGCCTCTATTAGTAGTGCGGACTGTCAACTTTCATCTCATATAGGTTACTATGTAGTATCATGGCGTACTACTGATCGAAGCAACATCGTGCGTTCGCGGTAGAGTGATATTTTCGCGTTGGAGAATCTGTAGTGCGCGTGCAACGTGAATTTCGTAAACATTTTAAGATTCAGCCGCGATATCCAATTTCTGCTCGTGGAACAATATTGAATTGCGTATAAAACTTCCGTGAAACTACCAGTGCATCGAATCGAAAGTCAACCGGCCGTAGGAAGACCATACGAACAACTCCCGAGAACATCGAACGTGTGCGTAGCAGTTTACAGAAAAGCCCTCTCGTCGTTCCTTAAGAAAACGTGTCATTTGTCTGATGTAGTATTTCATAAGTAAAATTGAATAAATTTTGTACCTTGTGTAAAATTTTTTACCTGTTGTCCTATCCGCATGTAGTTACTATTGCTCGAACATAATAAGAGTTTCACTGAAGTCAATCTTTTATGTAAGAACAACCACAAAGTTACAGCGCAGCGGTTCCCAAAGCGTGCGCCGCGATCTTCCAGGGGCGCCACGAATTATAAAATTTTCATTATTTTACTTCCATGTTCAATTCAATGGGATAAGATGCGACATCTAGCAGACCTGGTGCAAATCATTAACTCGGTAATAAAGTTGTCACATACAATTGCAAAATGTAAAGAGCCTTATACCATTGCAGAAAAACTCATTCCATTGGCTGCTGTAGATACGGTGAACATTATGCTTGGTGAGTCTGCTGGAAAGCACCTTTCAAAAGTGCCTTTGTCCAACAGCACCGTCAGTCGCAGAATACAGCACATAGCAAAGGACCTCTGATGTTCAAGAGGTTAAACTGAATTAATTGAAAAAATATAAGTGAAGTAATTTGGGTTGCAGCTAGGTGAGGACACAGATAATAATAATAATGCTCACTTGATTTGATATGTACAGTTTATAGATAGTAATAACATTGTAAAAGACTTTCTCGTTTGTAAAAGTATCACTGCTGGTGCTAAGGTTCAAGACTTGTTTGAGATCCTTGATATTTTTATATCCGAAAATAATTTGGAGTGAACCAAATGCATTGGTATCTGTACTAATGGTCCGAGTGTTATGGAGGATTGCAAACACTTTTTCGAAGCAAAGATCCTGATGCATTGTTGACCCATTGCGTTATTAACAGGGAAAAACTCATATCAAAATATCTGAGTTCTCAATGTAAAACTCAGATATTTTGATGTGAAAACCAGGCCTTAGAATATGTAGTAAACATTATAAAAACTTTGCCTTTGAAGGCTAGATTTTTCAAAAAAACTATGTGAGGATATGGGATCCGAGCACAAGTCTTTGTTATAATGCATTTCGAGAAAGTACAAAACATTACCACAACATTGTTTTGTCTCGTACGTTTGAATTGAGACAGGAAATTTATATATTTTTTAAAGAGGAAGACCACAAGTATGACGAAAATTTTGTGAATGAAGATTTTTGATAAAACTACCATACTTATGTGATATTTTTGAAAAGCTGAATTCTCTGAATCTCTGCCTGCAGAGAAGCAACATGTACCTTTTAAAGTCGATTGAGAAAATTTCAGCTTTTATAAAAAAAATTAAAATATGGAAAATAAAAATAAATGAAGATGGAGGAAAAGAATGTTGCAACAGTTTTTTGGCTCCAATGAAGTTGATTTCTCTCAAGATATGAAATCTATTTTTGAAGAACATTTATCACAGTTTATCACCTGGTTTGAGAAATATCTTCAAATGATAATATTGATAAATTTGCATGGATTCAAGATCCATTTAATATCAGTGTTCCATCTGAATTTACTGTTGCAGAAGAATAGAATCTTACTGAGTCAACTTGCAACAATACGTTGAAAACGAAATTTAGCAGCATGGAATTTACTGAATTTTGGATATCAGTAAAAGATGAATATCGCTTCTGAGTGTAATGCTCAGAGAATCTTAATTCTATTTGCAACTTTTTATTTGTGCGAAACTGAGTTTGTCGCTGTGATAAAAACTAAACATTCACGAAAATCAACGTGGAGAAGGAAATGAGGATGGCTGTGTCTAGTTTCATTCCAAGATTTGAGAAAATGTGCAGTGATCAACAGGCTCATCCGATATCCTACTAATTATAATTAATTAAATTTGTTTAATTACATTTTTTGTTATCTTAAAATAAGAAATAAGCAATTTTTAATTCCTAATTTTGAAAATTCAGGTGTTTTTTTCTTTTTTTTAAAAACTCTTTCCGCTCTGTGTGCACTAAGAGGGCCTCTTATAGCAAGTCCATTATGGATTCGACCAAGCCCATAATGGGGCGGCCGGGTGGTGAGGGACGGGGCCCGACATATTCGGACGGACCACCTCCGAAAAATTCCTGGGAATGTTTGACCCGTTTGGATTCGAACCCGTACCCACTTGACCGCTCGGCCATCCAGCCGTTGATTCAGGTGTGTTATTATCTAAAATGGAAAATTTAAAGAAATATAAATATGATTTAANTAATAAATAAATGTATGTACCTGATTAAATTTATTATTATTTACGTAAAATAAGTAATTCACTTTTAGTTATAGTTAGAGTTTTTTTTGTGGTGCTCAGTTATAACGACTGTATACATCTAATGCAGTAATTATAAAATTTACATACAAAAATATAAGGGGTACTTGAGAAACAACTAATGGGCTAATAGGGTACATCAACAAAAAAGGTTGAGAACCACTGCTGTAAATAACAGTTAGTATGACTATTTGCAAACATTGAATCCAGTGTTGATTAGCAGTTTTAATTTACTAAAACTAAAACTACACTTACACTATGACAAACTAGAAAAATGTTAGCATTGATTCAGAACAGCCTAGTAAGGTAAGTGAAGAGGTTTCCGACTTTGATAACATGGAAGACATATAACTCACTTTACTTGCAGTAAATACTGAACATTTGTTGATATAAATTTGTCTTGGGCTGTCTATTCAAGAAAAAAACTCCATGGATGAACATACTGAAATTAAGTTGCATCTTAGGTTCAAGTAAATATGATAGCTGACTGACAAATTTCATATTATTTACTAAGGTGAAAGAGTACCCCCTCTTCCCTCAACTCAAGACTGGACTTATGATTTTATTATCTACTAGCTGCGGCTCAAAATGTATCTATTATAAATGTATAACACTCCCCGCAGGGGGAATTTTGAAAAATCCCTTCTTAGTGTACATTCTCTTGACGTACCCTATTAAAACGCAATCAAAAACACAAAAACCACATCTAAAATAGAATAATAGAAGACCAGTTCTTAACAGTAAGCCTTAATGTTGTCCCTCTCTCATGGGGGAAATTTTGACATCTATATAATATAAAAACACGCACATTTGAATTCAATGTTGTGTCAAAATTTCAAAGCAATTGGTTAAAAACTTTCGGAGATTTAAGATTTTGAACAAATGAACATTTACATTTTTATTTATATAAAAGATATACAAAGAAATACTATAAACAAGCACATAATTATATTAATAGGGGTAAAGAAATATTTATCATTTTCTCAAAGTCTAAATAGCTAGTTAAAGTAATATCTTATTATATAAAATATAAACAGCATTTGAAATTTTCAATTTCAAAGTTTTATTACAACTGCTACTGTACTTTTATTTAACAACATAATTAAAAACAGTCAAAAACTTACCCATAAATCCAGCAGGGTAATTTGTATCGGTTCGAACTTTTCCGTCTACTTTGATCAGTCTTTGCATCACAATTTTTTTAACCTCAGCACAAGTTAATGCATACTTTAATCTATTTCTGATCATAATAATCAATGGCAAAGATTCTCTTAACTTGTGAGGACCAGTGCTAGGACGAGGTGCCTAACAAAGTAATTTATTTGGCTAAGAATTTGGATTAACTACCTTATCTAAGAACTTACAAAGTCATACTTACAAAAACACCTCCAAGCTTGTCCAACATCCATGATTTTGGAGCATTCAAGCGCTTTAAATGCTTTTTAGGTCCACGAGCCTATAGAATTACATTAAATTTAATAAAATGTAAAAATTTTGTCTTAAAAATGATCATCATCATTATCCTAAATGTTTCAGTTGCTTATCAAGTACAGTCGACCCCCTATAACAAACGTTCCTATAACGACAATTCCTATAACGTAGCGAAAAAATTGTAGAAACTTTCGTATAAAGTACCTCCTATAACGTCGTTTCGCGACAAGATTGATAGAGTCTGGACCAATAGTGGATGAGCAGCCGCACTACTTACCTCCGACCCTGCGCCACGCTACAGAGCGGCTAAATTGAGTTTGCTATCGTCTGTTTAGTATTATATATAAATTAGGTACTGTACATATAATTATATATTAATTATATATAAATTAGGTACTGTATATATAATTATATATTAACTTAATTTATTGTAACTTTATTATAATTATATATATGCTTTCTGCCGCCTGGCAACACGCTACGGAGATTTTAGGCTAGTAAGTTGAGTTT